AGGTGTTGCTGGAGATGAGGTTAAGCGTGAGAGTGAGTACAAGAAAGGATTAAGACCAGTCTTGTGGTTAACACCGGACTTTCCTCTTACAACAGACGAGCTTTTACCACTCCTCGATATATTAGCTAATAAGGTTAAAGCCATTAGGAGACTCAGAGAGCTTCTCACAACTAAACTTCCGCTAGGCACATTCCCTGTAAAGGTATATAATCCTTTTCAACTCGCAAACTGTGTCACTGATACAATTGAATTCATTATCTCGGGCTTAATGCTTCTTGGTAATTTATCTGCAGCTTGCCATTCCCATTATTCCCACAGTTCGAGTTGTTGTTACTTTCACGAAATTTGAAGAGCTTCAAGCGGCTGAGGATGAGTTCTCAACACCTCCATCTAGCCCGGTATTTCATGATGCAAAGTCTTCTACTTCAGAGAGCGCATCACCATCGTGGATCTCATGGATGAGAAGTGGAAAATCAACTGACAACGATAGTAACCGTTACAAAGACGAGGTTGACCCTTTCTTGATACCTCCGGATTACACATGGGTGGATTCAGCTGAGAAGAAACGTCGAATGAAAGCTAAGAAAGCAAAGAGCAGGAGGAAGAAACAGGCTGCTACAAAAGCCTCTGCTGCTAGTGACTCGAGTACCCGTTCAAATCAAGAAGCGGAATAACGATGAATCTCAACTAACCAAACCCTCCTTCTTGGCTCGTCCCTCGCATTCTTTGCTTTGGTTGGGTTCAAAGATGTTCATCTTTTGAACCATCATTGTGGCCTTGAAAAGGCCTTTGGTAGTGTTGCTGTTTACTGCTCTTGTAATGTCATATGTTATTTCTGAAATTCCTTAACAAACATCTTTGTTCCCACTCAATGAGTAATCCTCTTTTCTTTTCTCCGGTTCAATTTCGGTCTCGGTTTGAAGTTTTTACATTATAACTCCTCTAAGTTAAGGAGCAACTCATTTCAGTAGAGGCCATGGAAGATTTAAAAATAAATAATCTCTATAAATTTATTTTTCTATCTGGAACAGTATTATCATCCCCAATGATGCAACAACATACAGTTCCTTTTTGAAGGTGAAACTTTCGTCTTCATCAAATCCACCTTTTGATTAGAGGCTCTAATTTAGAGCAATATAAGAGACTTGATCCACATTTGATGAACTCTACAAGAAAGGTTATCTGTGTATAATATATAATTATTATATATTAACCAATTGGGGAATTAGGGGTCTCACTTGGCAGCCTTTTTTTAGCTCTTCCGATTCAGACTGTGTTTTGCACCATCTCCAGGCCGAGATTGAGACCAGAGCTCTCGCTGTTTGGCTTTAAACCATCAAATAAATTGTTCCTAAGTGTCATGAAACAGCCTCCTAATCTGATCCTCGCTGGCCGGAATCAATGTCACAGGACATCGCTTGTACTGTTTACCACAGAAGACCAATATAAGCTTATATCGAGGGGTGGTTATCGGGAGTAGTGAGGAAACGATTTGGAAAACTCACCTTTGAAACATACTTAAATACGCAAGCATAGCAGAAAACAAATCCAGAGACTGTGACAACCGATGGGTTTGCACGTTTTTGCAAGCATAACGCACAGAGGGATCTGTCAGGAGGTAGAGGGATTCCTTCTTTAGCCACCTGTTAGAGAAAACCAAAAATCATTTACAAAATTGACTGAGCGAAAGATGTTTACATTAGTTTCAGGTATCGCTACCAATTGATTGATTACCTTTGGCGC